GAAAAATCCGTATGTATGACTTTTTATATGTGTGGTCAACTATGTTTGTGTTTACTGAAATTTGTAACACCCCAATGCTACATGCACCTGTCTTAGAATGTCTTTTTGGATGTAAAGAGTATATTTTTGATATCAGCAGGTAGTATCTTTGGTATGCAATAAAATAAATTGAATTTTCAACAATAATTTTAATTTATATTTAATAAATAGTCCTAGTGATTCCAATAAAATAAGAAGAAATGAAATTAAGGAAAAAAGAGTTAGGCTTGCTCAAGTTCCTGATGCTAAATTGACATATAGAATCAAGTATTAGTTGTGGAAAAAGCAAAAGATCCAATGCATAAAGATATAAAAAAAGCTTCTGGAGATCAGAACAAGTTGAGCATGCTAATGCATGATCAACATTCTCGCTTTTATTCAATATTGTATGAAAATTATCTTGAAGAGGAAATGAGTAAGAGTAATGTTTTTGGATTGCAAATATCAAGTAAGATATTTAAAATTAAATTTCTTTATTGATTATTTTATTACTTAATAATAATAATAATAATATTCTTGTATAAAAATCAAATAGAATTGCAACTAACAGGGTATATAATACATGTACCAGCTAAGGTTTCTGGCCGAAACTCTCTCAATTAGTAGCCAAAATTGCCAAAAAACTTTGGGCAAAAATTACTTTTTTATAAGCCCAAACAATTTTTTGTTATTAGCCGAAATTGGGCAAAATTACTTTAAAGTTGTTTAAGTTAAAATAAGTTGATTGGCATAGTTTTTTAATGTTCATGTTTATAAAAAATATTGAGAAGCCCAAATTGCTCAAACTAGTTTGGGCTTTGAGAAAATAGTTTGGACCAGAAACCTTAGTACCAGCCACTGGTCTATATGTTAAATCAAAATTATTTTCTGATATGTCTTCCCTAAGAGAGTGTTTGATCAACTTAATTAAATTTAGGGTAAATGTTTTATCAAATCAATTTACCATCATTATTTATAAATACTAATTTTATACATTTATTCATTTGATGTTAGACAAGTCCTATGATGATTTTCTAATTGCTCTTGAAAAAGATGATGGCTTTAGAACAACAAGAAGATTGGATAACCCATGGATTGTGAAATTTAATAAATCACCACCTACTATTTCAAAGGAAGAAAAGGAAAACTCAAAAAAGGCTAAATGAATTGCAATTTTTTAATTTATGGCTTAAATAATTGCTATCTAGCATGGCGGACATTCGCAAATTGGCAATGATTTTTGTCAATCATATTTTGATTTTATCACGAAATTTGATTGGCCTGATAAATTACACAAAGTTAAAGAAAATTTTTATTTTTGAGAAAAGGAAGCTTCAACTAAATCGTTGCATGTATTTTT